GGGAGCGAGTCCACTACGTTGTCACTGGAGGGGCGGGGCAGTCATGGTCCATTAAAATACATGGTGAGGGGGAATATCAGTCTTAAGAATATCTCCTGTGCATCGCAGGGTATCTGGTGAGGCGTTCCCTATGAATATAAAATAGCGGTTCTCAACTTGCGACCAGGCAACGTCGGCGGCGGAGGAACATGGATGTGCTTTTGTGGCTTGTTTAGGGCTGGCACGGGACGAATAGGGAATTGGTCTGTGGAGTGGCCATGTCACTGTTGTCACTAAGCCTCTTGACAGCTACCCTGCTAGCCTGGGGTTGTTCTTTGTTCTTTCTTTCTTTGTTCGTTTGTTTACTCCTTGCTGTCTAATTTGTTACTCCTTTTCTTTCCCGTTTCTGTCTTTTTTCTGTTTTATTTTCTCTGTTCTCGGCCAAACCACGAGCTCTTAACACTTGCATGACATTTGACCATGCAAAGCCTCACAACACGACAAGCAACGACAGCCAAGAAATAAAAATAAAAATAAGATAAGATAAGAAATGCCACAACGAGAACAAGAAGCAAGGGAGGGAAGGAGAATAATAACATAGGTTATTGGGGAAGGAGAAAGAAAGCCAATGGACTGACTAATAACAGGCAATGATAGCAGTCTACTGGTGGGGGCCAAGAGCTAACCCCAAGCTGTCTTAACGGGCTACGGTTAAACGGAAGGATTTAAGGCCAAATAAGTACTGGGATGGAAGGGCTAGATCAATCATAAAACCAAGGTTGATGCTCCTTCTACATTCCCACCACGGTCAAGTTGCTTACTTTCATTTCCCGCATTTTCTTTTTCTCTTTTTAGGGTCACTCGATACATCTGTCCCAGTCACAGTACTTCGCATACTCTATCCGCCTGTAATATAGGTATAATTCGACTCGCAGTGTGCGGAAACTCCTGACGATGGGCAGCCAAAGAAAATAAAGGGGCACTGTGCTTCTGTTTGTCAATAATAGCAGTTAATAGTGGAACCCCCCGATGCCCTAACTGATGAGCTATATGTGGCCAAGTTAGAGGCAAAATGGTTGGCCGTGGACGAGGAAGTGCGTTACGCCCTACACAAGTGAGGTCAAGTAAAGGGGATAGGTTCTGGTGGTAGAGATTATTGAGTAAACTACATGAACCAAGTATGCATGTCTACAATACTTCGCGTGCAGTGTCTTCTGGCTAGCCAGATGGTTCCAAGAATATTAGGTATAGACCAATGTGGCTGATACAATTTCATTTTTCACATCATGATTTGTTATCCTATGCTACATAATAGGAGTTGTTGTAATGTAACCTAGGAAAGTAATGTCCCATGTCGAGTGGGGAAAGAGACGCTGTGAAAGCATACGTCTATATGCACAGGCGGATGACCGCCGAAGGAGACTCGAAACACTTCAGAGCTGTACGCATCAAGTAGCACTGCCCAACTAGGGAAGTATGGACGGCTTCCACAATTCTCTACCACAAAAGTGGCGTTCGCGGAAGTTGACCCTGGAGGTATGAGTGTAACTGTATCACATAGGAGGGGATGCAAGGTGAAAGCCAATTGTGGTCTGCGTCTCTAGGATACTACGTGACTGGAGATTGGCTATCAAAGTATAACGTAGTGTTGCAATCGAGTAGAGGTGTTTTGTCCAAGACCACGCAAACACTGCGGCGAGGGAACTAGTGTAGCAGACTTCCTGGAAGAGACATCCAATCCATACAGAGCGTGCATGCACAGCCTCCTGCTCGTGTCACTTGAGAGGGTTGTATGCTGTCGTCCAACACTAGGTGGAGGCAAAACCGATTGTCTCATTAGCGGATAATAATATTGTATCCAAGACATCCTGCACAATAGACAGGGCCAGGTAACCGTTACGTACCTTTGTTTGAGTTCCGTTACTCAAGGTCGGAATTGTACCCAAGGTTATATTCAAGGGTGTCAGTCTTGGCTACACGTTGTAGATGCTCTGTGCTTTTTCATCACCGGACAGTTAAGTACCAGGAGCAATGAAAGAGTGATTTTACTTTTCTTTTCCTTTCTTTCTTCTTGTGAAGGGTAGTTTGGTACATGCTTGACCAAGGGCTGATCACAAAAGTCATGAAGGATTAAGGCGCAATTTTGGGATTTCAGGCATACCTGGCGCTTATGACCACAACTGTACTACATGTAAGGCTGAATAAAAACGCAGGTGCCACCGACGCATGGTCTAGAACAGGCTCGCAGGCTAAGAGATTGGCAAGGGTCAAATAAGGATAAGCTCGGTGCCATTCAATAGTCAGAATCAAAACGAAGGAAAACTTATAAGCACTGACTGATTTCTTAGATGGCTTAGATCATCCCTCTATCATGGGTAGCAGCCTGCTGTTTCCCCGAAGAAAAGGAGGCCATCAGTGACCCAGAAGCAAAACACCTCCTTCAAAGACGATCTTTAGAGACGCTGCTGAGATTCAAAGTCGATGTGAATTCCGAGGACAGGAATCAGGGAACGCCGCTAATGTGGGCGGTCGCAGCAGGTAATCGAACAGCTGTCCAGTTACTCTCATCCCATAAGGACACCGATATCAACTACGTAGCAGATTTGAAGAAACACCACTCGTCATTGCCATCATGAGAGGGGATCCAGAGGTCGTTAAAATGTTACTACAATCTAAAAGGGCCGATGTCAATTTAAGGGATATCAACGGTCGGACACCTCTATCATGGGCCTTGGGCCCATGGCACCCTTTGAGAAAGGACAAAGCACAAATCAGCCATTGCCGCAACCCTAGCATTGCCAGGTTACTTTTCGAATCAGGGGCGGACCTGAAGATTACAGACACTTTTAAGCATACACCACTGTGGTGGGCTCAGTCTTACGATGTTCTACTGGCAAGGGGCAATCCAGAAATTCAAACCTATCATGACTCCCCTCTCACCGTTTTGTCAGACTACCTTTCATCATTAGAGATAATGAGGGCGCTTCAAATGCTCACTCACGACGAAGCCAAATTCAAGTGTGAGATCCGGCTCATGTGGCTGGTTTGCGAAAAATTCGGATTGCAGGCCAAGTACCCTTGGACGTCTGAAACTGGGATAGCTATCCTAGATTGAAGCTGCACATTGATTGGCGTTCTGGAGGCTTTGCTCATGCCGTTTCATGCTGCTTAGTATCAACCAATTGACACCAATGCTTCCCCTAGACTGTATTCGTTTTCTATAAGAATAGTTTGAGGACACTAGCCCGGGGAAGACATGAACGGCTTTCATTTGATTGCCTGTAAGGTGCCGTCTCCTGGATTAACTCCCCCTAAGATTGGAACACCTAGATGACAAAGCCAAAGATCAAACCAAGAATGGGCCAGATAATCAGCCAGTTGTGAACACCATTACGGACTGCCATCGAGTCCTTGCCTTCCTCCTCAAACCCCATGTTCATTGAGTTATTCCCAAATCCGAGCGTCGGAACCCATGAAGGCTTGTTTCCCTTGTTTAAAATATCCGAGTGAAGAGGGTCTATCTTCCCCAGAAATTCGATCGACCCTTCTCCATACATAGCATCACCTTTCTCGTTATTGGCCAAGAACCAGGCATTAAAAGAGAAACTGGCCGATTGGTTATCGAACATTAAACTGGCGATGGGCTCCGTGATCGGAATATCCTTTGGGTTATGATCACCCTGATCTAAGAAGCTAAGGCCCCACCATGTATCGGCGGAGTCATCACAGGAACTCATGTTCATCTCCACTGTCTTAACTCCTCGTCCGGTGTCATTAGACGCTCCTGTGATATGGTATGGTGGGCCGAGCTCGTTTTCGAGCGAAAGATTGAAGTAGGGCTTATGCGATCCACTTGTGTAGCCTGGGATTACGTGTCTAACGGGTGTTACTTGTGTCTATTGCGTAGACAGGTTGGGGATTGGACATACTCAATTGAAAGGAATTGCCATCTTAAGTTTCTTTCTTCGTTTCCCATATCAGAACCGTGGGCAAAGTCGAAGTCTATTAGCGCCGACTTTAAAGCAACTTGTACTGGGTTCTTGCCCTCGTCATTGGGGTTTGTCTTTGTCACAGCCAGTATAGATTCAGATGCGAATGTTGTAGTTTTATTTCGAAAGGCACGGCACACCTCATCGCCATTGTCATCTAAGAGATATTGAAAGTTGAACGTTGTAGTGCCATTGTAGTACCTGTGATCAATCAGTAAGAGTATCTCCAATCCAGATGGAATTATAGCTTACGATCCAATCCAAGAGTAGAGGAAGTAGGGTAACCCTGTTATGTTCCTAAGGCGGAAGTTGTATTCGGGGTCAAAGGTGGAATCTTCGAAACCAAGGGTCTGTGAGAGGAGAAGTGTCCAGATCAACCAGATGTAGTTCATCTTGCAAATCATGCCGGTTTACTTGCTGTTTCATTCCAAGAGCCTTCTACGGGGGAAGAGAGGATGTCGTCCCAGGGTAAACATAGTGACTCGAAAAGTTCATCACATGAGCGGAGATCGCTCGTGTTGTTACTTGGCATACAATTCTAGTGGTTCTTCCAAGGCTCGCTAATCTCACAAATTTCAACAGCTTCCGACGGGCAGTACTGGAGAAAGTGCACACTAGCAGTGTAGTGTCTTGGCTCTGCCCAGAGCTGCCCGAGATGCCTTGATAAGTGAGTTACACCCCGCTCAAAAAAGGTTATCTGGAAACGGTTGAAATTACCCCTTTCAGCAATCACTGAAGCTATTCAACATATGGTTGATTTGCATATCTTCTAGTACCCTCTGCCTTAGCATTGGACGGTTACATCCTTTTGTCATTCTCATCGTCATGCAATATGAAAAGATGCATATACTCGAAGTTGATATTACTAACTGTAGAAACCCAGGGTAACCTCAGGAACAACTATGAATCAGAAAGTCCAACTATAACAACATACCAACCAGCATCGTCAGCGTGCCTCCATTCGGTCAAAGACCAACTCTACCAGTGATATGAGCGAGTGACTAGAAGCACATGGGCGAACCAAACTTTTCGTCAATTCAAAAAACCCCAGAGATTATTCAGGCTTTCAGCAAAAGCCGGATGCGCAAAAACAGCATCTTGCAATTTCCAATATGGAAGCTTTGCAATCATAGCCATCTCTACGACACTCATAAGCTCTCCCCCTTCCGTGCCGAGACATGTAAAGCCAAGAATTTGCCCATCATCGGCATTGACGACTGCTTTCATCATCCCGTTCGATTCATCGGTCTCCAATGCCCTGGCAACGTAGCTCATTGGCATAGCCGCTGTTGATATTCTCATGTGTGGATATCGCTCGCGCGCCTCTCTTTCGTGCAGTCCAACGTGGCCGAGCTGTGGGTCTGTATATACCACATAGGGCACGAGCCTGTCTGTCACAGAGGGTCCTGAATGCGCCAAAGAGTCAGAGAGTAGAGAAGCCTTCAAAATCCGAAAGTCATCATAGGATATATGTGTAAAGGCAGGAGGGCCCTTAACATCGCCTAGGGTATAAATAGAAGGGACAGAAGTCTCTAGGAACTCGTTGCACTTGATGTACCCTTTTGCATCGACTTCAATCCCCGCAGCATGTGCGTTCAGATGATCTGTGTTAGGAACTCTACCAGCAGCAAAGAGAAGATGAGTGACATTGCTCACAATCTCAGTGCCGCCTTGAGTCTCCATTGATAAACTGAATGTTTCCATAGATGTAGATGAAATCGATGTGGGTCTGGCCCCCAGATGAATCGTCAAATGCTCGTCCCGCAGGATATCCAACAGCTCAGCTGCTATCTCTTTGTCTTCGCGAGGCAACAGCTGTGCTCCCCGCTGAACCATCGTCACCTTCGACCCGAGTCTCGCGAACAGTTGGCCGAACTCAACTCCCACATACCCACCTCCGATAACAACTAAATGCCCCGGCAGCTCACCTAGCTCTTGAATAGACGTGGAGTCCAGTACTCTGGCCTTGTCTATCTTTTCCAATCCATCGAGACTTGGAGGCGCCGGTCGGCAACCAACATTCACAATGATCTTTTCTCCGTTGATAAGTCTGTGGCTCCCATCGGGGAACATCACTTTGAGGGTGTTCGCATCGTGAAAGCGCGCCTCACCCCGCAGAACATCAACGCCAGCACTTTCCAGGCGTTTTTCACTCCCGCTCCGGAAGGAGCTCACTATATCGCGCTTTCGCTGTCGCACTTTGTCCATCGAAACAGTGAACTCATTCTTCAGTCCTACCTGCCCGGGTAAGTGGATACCATAGTCCGGCCCCCTGCGGATCAAATGCGCGACGCGGCCTGATGCGATCATAGTCTTGGTCGGCGTACAGCCTTCGTTAACGCAACAACCGCCGATGTGTATTTTTTCTATGAGTGCAGTTTTCTTGTTTGCCTCAGCCAATGCTTTTGCGAGCGGAGTACCGCCTTGGCCCGAGCCTATTATGATGGCGTCGTAGTGTGTAGCGGTTGCCATTTTTCTAGTGATCAATTGCCTTAATTGTCGGCGTGCTGTGTAGAGGTACGTAAAGTGTATGGACATCACGGGTCTCTAATGGATTTAAAAGATTGTAGTGCCTTCGGGAAACGTGTTGCATATATAAAACAATCTAGTCACTCCACTTAGATTGTGTGACAAATACATCATGGTTCCCGAAGTGGTGGCTTGATCCATGGATTCGATTAACCTTATTATATCTTGTTCTTAAAGCACAAGTTCCAGACCACTTTGGACTGTCATGGAAGATTGGATTATGACGGGCTGCTATACGGCTACAAACCTACTTCGTATGAGGACAAATGCCGATGGAGGCAGCTGTTGATTCCAATTGGAACTGCTCTTCGTGTATAATCGTATTAGTGACATGACCTCGGCATATAATAGTGCGTCGATCAGCCTGAAAAGTTAGAATCCAGTTTCATGCTAGAGATTACGAAATAGTTGATTAGAAGCAACGGAAACTCTTTGGTGTATCAGATCTATCCCACCATCAAGCGAGTGCTTATTTACCACGGCCAATGTGAAGAGAGTACGACAAAGTCACTCTCTAGGCTTTCTGCTTAGGAACATAATAGTAGCATTACCTGTTTACAGGTGCAATTCATATCATACGAGCACTCCGTTATGGTATGCATGTCAATGTGCCCAGCTACAGATGATTTCTGAAAAACGTCCTAGATAACCCTAAGCCCTAATACCGTTTCTATATTAATGAGATGTCACCCACTCCTACATATAGCACCTCTCCAGATTCTCCATTGTGATATTTTCAGTGCTTATCCAGTACGAGCTTTCGGGATACTATGTACGTTCCGTATACTTCTAAATGGTTCTTACAACAGATGCACCAAGCGCAGTCAGATTTGGTTTGGGATCCTGATCACGATACAATCAGCTTCAGATACTGTTAACACTTATACCAAGCTCAATCCATTGATTTTGATATAGTGCAACATAATTGAAGGTCACAGGGCTCAGACACCGGTAAGATATTGCGTACGTCTAGAACGAAAGCCTAAGGTCTAAAGGCTCGGAAAATCCGGATCTGCAGTGGCCACAATCGGACATCTGCACGCGTGATTTAATAGCGTGGTAGTGATACATAACTAGTTTATTCAACGCCAGTGACTTGTGCTGCTGCTGCTAGCTTCTGGGTCAGAGAGTCATCGGTAGAGATATTGAATCTGGTAAGACCTGGGTCAGTGCTTCCCAGTGGCTGGAGGCTATACAACATTAATAGAATGTCTAAATGTCGATAAGAGTCTCAGGTAACGAGTCACCACGGCCTTCCTTATTTTACCTTCCCCATAGTCCTGCGTAGAGTGCTATTTTCTCAGCCCGATACAACGGGATAATTGCTATAGCTCTTTATCAATACTAGACATAAGCCCATGAAGCCTTCCCACTACACTTGGCATATTAATATTACAACACATTTAGCCTGTTGGCAGCACTGAAAAGATGTATTGCCGAAGTTTTGCCGAATTGTGTGTGGTTCTGCGCTAGGCCCTTCCAGATCATCGGCATGTCGACCTGAACCCCGCGGGGTGAGATAGCTAGTACAGCAAAGAACCGGCCCCATAGTTGCGGAGAAACATTTTGAGCCACTTGCTCTGCCGCCGTCGACATAACCACATACGGTAATTGAGCCCAATCGGCAGATATTTCCCCGAGGATTCGGCCAACAAGTTCACTATTTGATTCGGTCCGCCAGTGGACGTGTGTTTTAAACTTTTTTCGTGGAATATAAATTCCGGCCTCCATACAAACGGGCGACGCGGCCCACTTGCCTTCCCGAGCTTCGTGGTAGACATTGCTCTCACCCGAGCGTCCTCTTCACTAAACAAAAGCCTTGAATTTGTTGGCAAGTCTGAAAATTGTGTCTTCGCCGGTGCGTGACTGGCCTACATCCGTGATTATGTCTAGCTTGATCTTGTAGACTTGCGAGCAGACAATAAGTGGGTAACATATTGGGCAATGTCCTGATTTGTACCTCGGACCATCCCCGCGTACCGTGTGGAGCAACCTGTGGGGTTTGGAGTCAAAACCTGGAGACGCCGGGGTTGCTTGAGCCTAGCTAGAATACTAATGCATACAACCACCTTAACTCTAAACGTCGATCATTACCAGAACTGTGGTGGCATGGCTTCCATCCCCACTCGTACATACGCTGGGATTCTTTGGAGAGAGTTTTGAGAATTCACATGGGTTGGTTTTTTGGAGGCCTCTTAAGTATATAAAGACCCCCCAAAGGGGCTGTTTCAATGTGATCATCATACACTGTACGCAGCCAACGAGAAGTAAAACAAGATGCGGGCTTCCCTGGCATATGCTGCTTTGTTGGCAACATTTGCTGACGCACAGCAATTGTACCTCACGACGGACGGCTATACTGACCGTCCACAGTGTACCAAACCGGCTGCTGTTCCTCAGTACCATTTCCGGTCCTTTTCTTATACCCTAAACGAGACCGTTCGGTGAGTGCTCTCACATATACTTCTGTCACAAACTAGAAAGTACAACCTAACTAATGAAATTCTGCAGTTATGCTAGTTCAGTACACGCACCAACCACAACCCGAACGTATGCGCCACCTTACTCGGAAGCAGTCAAGCACCTCACGGCAAGCCCGGTGACTACAACATGGGGAAACTGGCTGCCTAGCCAGACAGTGATTATGGCTACAGACACAGATGATCCTTATGGACAAGCCGCATGGTCCTCGCTTTGGCAACAAGTCGATCTAGAGAACTACACGACTACCGGGCTGTATTCTACCACGGTCAGTCCCACGGCGGTTCCAAGCAGTGAGCTAATTCTGCCACCGCGGGACTACTTTGGACCAACAGATTGCTATAACTTCCCGGATGACTTTATCTTTGGCGTTGCAGGAAGCGCAGCTCAAGTGGAGGGTGCCATTGGTTTGGAAGGCCGTAGCCCCACCATCCTGGAGAAGTTGGTGAATACCACTCAGCCAAAGAATTATGTGACAAACGAGAACTACTACCTCTACAAGCAAGACATTCAACGATTGGCTGCCATGGGAGTGAAATACTATAGTTTCTCGATCCCGTGGACGCGAATCCTACCCTTCGTCTTGCCAGGGTCGCCCGTGAACGAACAGGGGATCAGGCATTACGACGACTTGATCAACACCGTCCTTGATGCCGGAATGCAGCCCATAGTTACCTTGCTTCATTTTGATAGCCCCTTGATGTTTGTGGGCAGCGACAATACGTCCGCTCATCCAGATATCGGCTACAACAACGGCGGCTACCAGAACGAGACCTTCGTGGACGCCTTCGTCAACTATGCGAAGATTGTTCTTACTCACTACGCCGACCGCGTTCCGATCTGGATTACCTTCAACGAGCCGCTGCTCTATTCATTTAACTTTGCTGGTGCCAATAACGTGGTGCACGCCCACGCCCAAGTGTACCATTTCTACCATGAGGAGCTTAATGCCACCGGCAAGATAGGTATCAAATTCAATGACAATTTCGGAGTTCCTCGAGATCCAACCAACTCAAGTGATATCATCGCCGCCAATCGTTTCCAGGAGATGCAGCTTGGACTTTATGCCAACCCCATCTTCCTAGGCCAGCAGTACCCGGACTCTGTCCTGACAACTCTACCAGGCGCTAAGCCGCTCAGTGACCAGGACCTCGCATACATAGGTAATACCTCGGACTTCTTCGGCATCGACCCATACACCGCAACGGTAGTCTCCCAGCCTGCCGGAGGTATCGAGAGCTGCGCCAAGAACCAATCTACAGAAAACTCGTTATTCCCTTACTGTGTCATACAAGAGACAAAGAACATCTACGGCTGGAATATCGGGTACCGTTCACAAAGCTACGTGTACATCACACCCACTTATCTCAGGGAATATATCAACTATCTCTGGAATACCTTCCGGAAGCCCGTGTTTGTGACCGAGTTCGGGTTCCCTGTATCCCACGAGGCCGATCTGGAGTTGTCGGACCAGCTGTTCGACACGCCACGCAGTATCTACTATCTATCCTTCATGTCGGAGATTCTCAAGGCCATCCACGAAGATGGGGTGAATGTTATGGGTGCTTTGGCCTGGTCGTGGGCTGATAACTGGGAGTTTGGTGATTACAAGCAACAATTCGGGTTACAGGTGGTGAATCGGACAACCCAACAGCGATTTTTCAAGAAGAGTTTCTTTGATTTGGTTGATTTTGTGGGTGCGAGGCTGCCATCTTCGTCATGACACTAGTAACTGAACTTGGAGCTGCATGCGGGTTGTTGTTGTTAAAGCGACACTTCTATGTTCATATCAAGGGGGAGAATTGGTATATTCAAGCTTACTTTGCCAAAGAGTCCTAGACACCTAACTATCATCCAATGTTTAAACCCAGGTTGGATACAATAGCCTACATAAACTAGTCTCTACTACCCTGCTTCTTCCCTACCCACATGAATCCTCATTGGGCTCCTAGTAGTACCACCTTTGTCCCGCCTAACTATTACCAGCGCGACAATATAGTAGAAAATGAATTAAGCCTCTTGCTATGCAGCTCTTTTGCCTAATCCCGGCTAGAGGATGGTCTGATAACAAGTAGGGCGGTGTTTACTAAGTTGAGCACGTTGAGAAGTAACAGAAGCCTCATGGGGCTCGAGTCCCACCTATTTCCTCGCTGACTGCGACCACAGGTGACATACCTTAGTGTGTATGATGTTGTATAGTATTCAAGGTAGCAGACATGTCGAATGTGGAAAGAATTGGGAGAATCATTTGTGGCATTAGCTATATTCTAACTGACATATTCAGTGTGCAATCAACTATGCATAATACTTCCCATTCAAAACCCCAGCACCGTTATCATCATACTGCGCCTTAGACATCCAGATGCCCTCTGCATTAGCCGAAGCCACAAGGGTACCACCCAACCAGACTGCGTATTCACGATTCGCGGGGTTGGTGATGTTCACAGATGCAGATTCCGGCGCGATGTTAGCGATCACATTGTGCAGTTGGTCTGCTAGGCCAGGATCCGTGTTTCCTCCGGACTATATCATTCTTTGTTAATAACAAACGAAAGCAAAGGTTGGTCAGGGCTACACATACCAGGACGACATTGCCATACAAAGTAGCCTGAACTCCTTCATCAAAGCTTTGAGCTACGTTTGATATCGCAATCGAGAGATCTCCAAGATCAACTTGGTCTCTTGCTTCCGCTACACATTTCCCTTCGATTACGGGGACGATGCGGGCGTATTCATTTCCAACATCAATGACTAGGCCAGTAGTGCGATTGGATGCATACACGGCCAACACAGCATCAGGCACAATATCGAGTGCGGGAACGTTGAAGTTCTCGAACATCATCTGCACGGTCTTCTCCCGATCCGCGTCGCTGGTGAATGGGGATTCGGCGAGCAGGACGGGGTGTTCTTCCGGTGCGACCTTGAGCTCACTGTAGAAGGCGTGCCAGTAGATCTTCTGTAGTGCATCCCAGTCCGTCACGGAGCTGTTCTGGAGTGGGTTTACGAGGGGTTCGTTGTTTCGGATGGCTGCGTCGCCGACGGAGCTGGGTGTATAGGTAAGCTTAGGCAAACTGGGGCGCAATGTTTTAGGTTTGTGGTTACCGTGGGCCGACGACAGTTCCTATTTATATATGTTAGAACTTAGGATATAATATAAGTAGCATGGAATGCGAAGGTTTTGACCAACTCACGGAAGATAGAGCGAGGCGCATCATCACCGGCAAATCCAGCCCTGGTACGGAAGGAGCTGCGAGAAGATTAGCCTTGTACAGATGTTAGAAAGTGAAGCAGGGCAGTATACCCAGCGTCAATGACAATTCCTTGGGTGTCGCCGTCTAATATCGCAATCAATTGGTCCGAGTTAGTAGGGCCGCAGTACGTTGAATAAATGATAATAATTCAATGGGTCAGCCTACCGGACATTACTGCGGGATATATGGGTGGGTCAGGTTTGGTGCAATGAAAGCATCAGAGGATTTATATGTGGGATTGCCCCTCTTTATATAGACGTGGGGTGAAGGCAGCTTGAACTCTGCTTTGGTTGTGGCTTTAGAATGCTGCCTTATCTGACCAGTTATATCATAACGCTCTGATTGTATTTGTACAAGATCGTCGCTTGTATAGGTGGATATTCACCTGCTAGTGAAGTTATTGGCTGTCAAATCAACAGTTTACTGGGTGCGGCTGAGGAATGCAGATCGTACAGATCCTGTGGGTCCATCTATCATGGTGGTGAGATGGTTCTCTCCATATGCCACCGTATATACTGCTACATTCAATCAAACGTCTCTCTGAATAACAATAGCTCATGGATAATGTCCCAAAAAGTCCCTGTAGGACAATAAATTTCTAGCGTAACGGTGGTAGAATGGCTGATCGTGATATTTTCCAGCCGCACCCTAATGTCGACTTCAGCTGAACCCCACAGCCCCACAGTAGGTTTCTACATACTCTGTACGTATAGTGCACAGGTGAGTAGGCAATATGTAGTTATAAATTTATCACTGGTCATGGACAGGGAACAAGATAAAAATCAGTTCTTCAGTCGCAGAGCAGTTATAACGTATTGCATTGTTTTCAATTATTACTTAAAACTTCGCATTTCATATAGATCTCATATCAAGATCAAACGAAAGAATACAATACAATAATCCAACTACTATTAAACCCCTATATATAACAAATATACCATGTCGTCAATATCATGTATGCTCAGCGGACCCTCGGGACCTGTCTGTTAATCTGAAGCCTCCCAACTTCCATCTCTATTGCTCGCCTGTCCTATTTTTGTCAGTGATATCGACTAAACAATGTAGAAGAACCGTAGGGGCTTCCAGGGGAATTCATTTGAGTGCTACCCCGGTTAGATCTAATCTGGTGAGAATATGGGATCAAAGTCAATGTCAGATGTGTAGTATGTATCTCGTACATGTCCCATGGTTACTCTGTCAGCTTTCGGGTTCTCTATCGCGCTCGGACCTTGGTTCTAGAGACCACCATTATATGCCCCGCATTTGATAGATTACTATGAGGAGCTAGAAATCTGCCGGGATTTAAATCTGAGTAAGAAGCCGGTTCTCGTTATTTCCCCGCCATCACCCCACCAAATATACCTATGTTTTGTTGATTTAAGTGCCTGAAGAACCACCTTCCTGACTCTAAATGTAGGAAAGCTAGACTATTCACGACAGTCGCATAATCCTAACCTTGCCTTTATAGCTGTCCCGAATCATATCTTAGCCTGGAGCTTGACGTCTAGTTTCACTTTCGTCGTGGGCAACGACAAGTCGCATTTTGTCTACTCGGATGCCGTGTTATTAATGATTACCATCAAGCCCGCCTCTATGCACAACGAGAACGTTGATCAACATCGACTACCTTAAGCCAGATCGTGGAGACATTGCGAACGATCGTTACTCAATTTAGCTATGCGAAAGGAGGTATGTTAAGCTATTCCCATGGTCGGGCTTAATTTAACTGGATTCAGTATCAGGTGGGGGCTAGGGCCCTAAAGGGAGAGATGGAAGAGATCAAAACAAAGCTGTTTGATGAAGTAGAATATCCAAGAACAATAATCGGCACGGGAATGCTAATCCAGGTATACGACCCTAAAGCTGACATGGGGTCACCGGCATACTGGGAATGGGAATCTCAAGGAAAGGAGGGCAAGCATATTGTCCCTGCTGGCAACAAAGTTCGTGTTGTTGGGGCCACAGTTATGTTCACCTAGGTGTAAGCTGAAGTTTCTCGATCAGCTTTGTCCCCCTCTCAAATCCAACGAACAGGTTTATCGAAATATCAACATTTCGATCTTTTAGGGCTAGCGCATTAACACAATCTGTTTGTAACGGGGGTATACTATATACGTGACCCCAGGGCATTCGGGATGGTTGATCCCGAACTATATGATCTTTTGGCCTTGTGGAATAGGGTGCCCCGGCCCTATCTCTTACACAGTCACCGATATTATATAAGTAGAGTTCTAAATAATTATAAGAAATTTTTAAAATGTTTCATTATTTAACTAGCTATATTTCTATTCTAATGTTTAAAATTTTTAAATTCTAAAACTTACCACGCAATTTCATAAATGATGTGCATTGGTAAGGCGGAAACGAAAGGTCAGTCACAGTCAGAAGAAACAAGTAGCAAGGACGGAAAATAGAAATAATAGAAGAATATGCAACACCATTAGTCTGACATTAGCCACGTAAAGCCAGGTATAGGCGTCTCCCCACTCTTTAGCGACCCTTCAAGGGTCGACGGTTAAGGTTAAAGCCTTATTTAACCTTAATACCCGAGTAAACTAAGCTTATTTAATCTCCCTTGATTGGCATGGTTCACGATATAAACACAAACACTAAGTTGGATAACTACAGCTTGTGTCGAGTTCCTATTCTTCACCTGGTTTCTAACTCTGCCCTGTAAGCACCATAGTGGCCGTCAACCGAAGAAATGTCTTACAACCAAGGCGAGAAGGGATGCGCTGGCTCTGCCCTCCCCCTCCTCCTCCTCCCGAAGATCCAAGCTCAAAAGTCTCCCCGTTTGTCAAGAAGCTGAGATCTGCTCCTCCCGGCTACTTCTTCCAACCTGAACGGCCACCACCTCATAGAGATCCATTTGCTGCGCCGACGGGCCCTTACTTCTTCTACGGCACACTGTCTGATCCCGCTATGCTCCGCGATGTCCTTGGCTTGGAAACCGAGCCACAACTTCGACCCGCCACCATGATAGGCTACGAATGCAAGCTATGGGGCCAGTATCCAGCTCTTCTAGATGCCCCAGGAAAGGTGGTTCATGGGACTGTCTACCATGTCGAAACACAAGAGCATGCAGAGAGGCTTGCCAGCTATGAAACGGATAATTATCGGGCCGATCCATGTCGCATCGACTATACCGACGGCAATGAGCCCGTCGAGGACTTGGGTTATTGTTTTAAATTTGTCGGGAATGTCAGAGACTTGAGTGACGGCACCTTTGATCTGGGGACTTGGCTAAGAAGAGTGAAGAGGGTGGTTGAGGACTCATCCGATGTCAAGTAGTTGCAGGCAAGAAAGGCATGTATCTGGACTGCAAGTACTAAGAAATACAAGCCACGTTATCATGAGACAGTACTTTCTGTTAACTTCTTGAAACTCGCCCCTTTCGCGCCTCAATTCTGTTCGGCAGGCTACCTTGTAGGCAGCAATGGTACACCTGGTATGTACATTGAACGGCACGTGGCCCAACAAGAAAGGAGATAGAACATCGTGGGACCTCATTTCGGCGTTGCGATCATTTCCAGATATATAAAAGCTGTCTTCTGCTGGCAGTGGAAAAAGTATGTTAATTAATCTTATAAAACTTAATGCTGTGGTTGGTTCCGATAATTTCTATTTCGATAGTTTTATGCCACTACTGAGAGCAGTCATCATTGATACCAAGAACCAGAAGATATCATCTGGGATAGAATATATTCTACTATTGAATCAATAATATCTCCGGGGTCGCTGCCTCTTCTCACTCGGATTCCATCTCTACATACTATAAGCAGTTTAGCTAATTTTGGTAAATAACGCAAATACATAGATGCCGTGTTAAAAAAGGAGTTGAGTTCATTATATCTCGATATACCTCAATTCTATGAAACTTTCTTCAAGATGGATGGTCATATAACTTTGCGGAAATATTACACTCCTCATAAGGAACTCCATGCTACAGGATAGTATATTGAAATCAGAGCAGTTTCCCCCGGAAGATCATAAACAAGAAGATGCCTATACATAACCCTTCACCCCCCTTTGATGAATAAGAGTTCATATACCGTAGGTAGTAGGGCACAAGCCTAGTATCAGGCTTTCTTGATAATGCACCGTGTTCACTAAAGTCTCAGGTGCACAATAGGTAAAATGAAATGAAAGCTCCTTGTTTATTCTCCGACGACCAGAGCCCCGGTATATGTGAAGGAGGGGTATGCATAGGGCCAAACATCGAATCCATAACATTACAGATGGAAGTCTATCTCTCACATGAAATCACATTGCATATCTCAGCAATTTCTCCTCCCTATAACTGTTGAAACCCTCAGATCGGGGACGCTTCCACCAGAATAGGCAGCTCTTATCTCCTCCATCATCTGAGAAGCCATATCTTTGGCCTCGTCCTGGCCTCCAGCTTGTCCGCTCCGTAAAACTGTGACGGGCAGTATGGTTTGGATTATCTGGTCAAACCATAGCTGTATGTCCGCGTAGTGGTCAGGGTTTTCAAGTGTGCTGTATTCATATTTCCGAAGCTCTTGTAATTCAAGCTTCTTGCCTTCGTTTATAAGAAGGTCCGAGAGCCGCCCTGAAAGACCAGCACTTCCCATATACTCAAGTATCAACTCTAGAGCTTCAGGTGTCTTCTGGCCTGGTCGACTAAGTGCTGTATAGCACCAGTCCACATCTTCCCACTGGAGGAATCCACTCGGGCCTATACACAACCCTTTAGATCACATTTCGAGGTTGTCTGAGTAGAAATCCTTATAAGAGAGTCGACTTACGCAGAAGTTGAATCACATTTCCCAGTGCTTTAACAATATCAGGCCCCCGAAGAGCCAAAACAAGTAATCGAATATGGACAATATCGTAGCGGCCCAGATGCTCACTTGGAAACGGCTGGGTGATGTCGTGGATCGTGAAATCAATATCTTCTTGTTCGCCGGGAAACTGGTCACTGGAGATATCAAAGCCATGCAGATGGCAGGCTGGCACTGTGGGATGAGGCTTGAGGCAGGATGACAGACGCTTCAGCCATATCCTATAAATGTTACAACGAATGAAGAGCTGGATGGTTTGTAGAGGGACTGACCCTGTGCCTGTGCCCACATCGGCAATATTCAGGCCATTGTTCATTTCGATGCTGATCGAGGGGTGCAACAGCTCGTACCCCATGAAGCTGGCTATAATCTCGTGTTGCAAGTCTAGCCTGTGTCCCGGATCAGTACTGTATGTGAACAAGATTGCCTTCTTACACACCGCTGAGACTCTGTTTGGTCCCGGTTGTTGAGCAGGTATAATTCTTGATCGGACATAATTCATGCTATTATTGCTGGAGTTGAATATCAGAAAGCTAAATTGCCACAATCCTCAACACCCAAGTATACCAATATCTGTAAAGTAGGGCTGAAATGCCGTATAAGCTTATAGCTTTCTTTCTTGATATCTTTCGAGACAATTAGGCGCTTTATATATCCATTTCTCTCTTGTATTAGGAATTATATGTTACTCAAAAAAGCAAGTTATTATCAGGTCTATTTCCTAATCAAGAAATTAGGGTTTTTCCCTTTGTAACTGTTTCCTATTTTGACCCCATGACATCACTGTCGTCTTGTACATCATTCTATATCCTTGATACTCCAGGCTACATATTTTCGTAACTCATGATAAATAGGGCTAAAGGCCTCTGCGTTGAATCGATTGTTTTGGATCTAGTATCAGCGTGGGATATGGTTGGAACCAATGTCGAACTGACTCAGCTGTTTCTTGCATATCGGGCTCAATATGGAAATCCTCCGGCATCGAATAGGACGCACCGTTTCTGCAATTTAGGGAGCATCGGCGACTAGTACGAGGATGGCATCGACCAATTTCAAATGGGTGCGGTGATCTAGGAACACACCTCGCAGAATCTGGAGTCTAATATTCCACCCCGTGGACGATATGTGCTAATGTCGAACACGTCGACTATGAGCGGAAGTGATATTTGTGGGGACTCCAGGGGCAGTGTTCGTCGCAATCACCGACAGCTCTCCGGTCCCCTACAGGGTGGCTCCTCTGACAAGCCCACTGGTCGTCTGGAACGGACAAGCTTCCAATCCCGAGGCATCTCTCGACGTAAAAGTCGTATACTGCTTGCCCTGACCCCTCCCCCACACGTAGCGGCCCTTTCCGGAGACATGTCAAAGTGCTATTGCATAGACTGCAGGTTGATACATGCGACGGCGTCCAGCCAAAGTCGTCATATGTGTTACAGACGCTGGCGAGCCACAGATCGACCGCCCGGTGTGCACATCCCAGACGGGGTATCATACAATCCTCCTTTCCCAGCTGCCCTGCTTTGATCGCTAACTGGTATTCCACTCTGACCTTCAGCATATCGTTCTCGTCCAGGTCTGGTAAGATCCGAATCTTGATTTTCGACGATCCGTAGTTCATGGTGCAAGAGTGCCAGCAGAAGGGTTCCCGAGCGCCGGCACTAAGTTGTGTGGCCAGAGCTGTCAGAGTCTTCTGTCGCACTTGCAGAAGCTCAACAAGATCCATTTTCCCGCGAAAGGTTAACTTGATGCATGGACATAAGTCGACTACACCAGCCAAAATCCCCAGATTACAGCCTCTGTCTTCGGGCTGCTGTTTCCGTTCTCGCTGGGGAAAGGAGGCCGGCGTATGCAGGTGTAAGCATCTGGAACAAGCTAGCAACGTCTGTTCTGTAGAAGTTTGATGAGTTCCCAGCGGGGAGTTGCAAAGTTGTACTCGTTGCGATAGTGTTTGAATAGCGGGGCAAAGTCTTGACTGAAAGACAGACATTCTGAGTTTAAAACGGCACGGTCTAATAGGAACAGTTTCCTGCAAGCCAAGGCAAGGGTCGCTCGAGAAACCTCCGATAAATGGGATATGATGTGTAGCAGTAATTCCGTCGGCAATCGAAGGAGATAGCAGCCTCCACGAATACGTGCCCTTCCTTGGTCCCGGGTTGATAGCCAATGTCCGGTTTCTAACGAGGCTACCCACTCTGCTGTCAGACGCTGAAGGCTGTTTATCGTATTAGTCGAAAATGCTCGTCTCAGGTGTTGTCTCATTATGAAGGCGAGCGTCGTTTTGCTCCGACCTTGAGCTGGGGACATCTCCTGCTGGCCGCAGTCAACCATTTCCTGACTGGAGTTCATTGCTGTGTCAAGGGATCTAGTCATGTCACAGCTCTGATGTCGCTTGGCGTTGTAGAATTCGACGATAGTATGAAAGGTTAGTTAGCAGGAAAGTTGAAAATCTCAGATCCAAAAACAAGAAAAGCAAAGGGCGGCGATACGTATAAAGGAAGCCTTTATATTCGTTGGAAAGTATCGGCAGATTCCATAAAGCGTTGTTGACTTGGGAGATCCCCAGTATCCTTGACGTATCCCCATAAGGTGGGCCTGAGTTTCACGACATGGTAAGGCACACAGCTCCACGGCGCTAGAGCCTTGGTATACGGTACTGATAATCTCTTTAGCTCAAGTTTTCGATATAGTATACACATGTATTGCATGTAGAAGAAGGTATTCAAAGCTCAGCCGATGTGTCAACTCTACTCTATTCACCGAGGATTTATTTTGCGCAAGGCGCGGTATTTATTCTCACGGAGGTCTGATACATCAAAGCTTGTTTCGTTGAATTGGCGCCCGAGCGAAGGCTAAGCCAGTTTATTAGGTACTAACTTGTCCCACATGTAGTGTAGGGCTCATCGTAAGGTGCCATTTGGACAAACTGTCCCATTTATGGATTAACTATGGCCTATGCAATGCAACCCTTTTTCACACGAGTTTCGTATCTTCTCCACTTGTCCTTCAACCGAATAGCGCCGCTGGCAGTCACAGGACCAGCCCTAGCTCGGTGGGGCCGCTGCATATCGTACAATCGTACAACCGTACACATGGACATACGATATTGGTCGTTTCACAGCCCTACAGCTTATGAAGTCAATTCTGTGGGTAGACATGATATGGAAAGAGTAGCATCAATGTTTGGAGCTCAAAGCATCATGTTTTTTACTTCGCCCTGCTATCTTCTACCGGGTTATTGTAGTCGCGAACGCCAGAGCGTCAACTGCGCCAGCAGGGATGAATTGGCATCGTCACTTCCAGAAGCCCACGTCTGCAACGTTAGTTTAGGCAAGGAACATGGAATACGAATTCCCCACTGGAGGTATAGTACCAAGATATATGCCACTGCAGGACGCGGCTGTTATGTGATGTGCTCGTTCATTAATTGTCGGAACTCCTCCGAGCTTACTCTTGATCAAGTGAGGTGTCACCTAATGAGGCCAAATGAACAAGATATACGTTTACTTGTCCACAGTATAGAAGTGATACATTTATAAACTTTTGAGTATTTGCTTGTCTGCTTGTATACGACTTGTTCTGCCCACCATTGGAAAGGACATGGTTCACCCTTCCGCTGGGGCTCTCATATACCTCTTCCTAATCCTACACCCTATTTAACCGAGACTAAACATACTTATTCTCGAGTAATGGCTGGGCTTTGAGGCCTCACTACCCCTATACTCACCGAAGCATTAAGTAAGAGCGAAGAAATAGAGTATACAATCATATCATGACACTATATTCATATATCCTTATCCATGACGTTATAACATGATGTAAATGTTGGTATCAAATGCTGAACCAGCATGGACATCTAGATACTCTGTTATGCCAACTCATACACTTTCTGCAGGTGTGGTATATATCTAACTTTATAATGGCATGCATCATGCGCTCGGACGCATGTCACTAAGCTGTGTACAACCAATAGTTTTTCCTGACACTGTGTTTCCATGACAGCCAAGATATGACGTTGTAGCAGTCTTGTGAATATTTTAAAAGACATACATTGCATTCATGATTTCTCGCTTTACGTCATTGTATTCTAGTGCAAGCCACAGAATAAACTGGATTTGATGAGATGAAGCATGAAGTGCCCATACTGTGCGGTCCATATCAAATGCTATAATTCACGCTGGGCTTTTTTTTACAGTTAGACATAGTCCTACACTTTCCTTCAGAAGAGTACTACTTGTGAACAAATAAGGCGGTCTAACACTGCAAAGAAAAACAAAGACATTATGCTTCGGACCGCACCTAACCGAGTGATTCACTGTCAGTGAATTGGAAATACCTTTCGTGTGAGGGATTCTTCTGCTCTTGTTTCACCTTCGCATCTCTATTCACACAACATGTTGCCTGTCAAGCATCATCCTGCATTCATGCCCCTACGTATCACAAAAATGGAGTATTTTCTTAAGCAAGGTAGGTTACCTACCCAGTGTTACAGAGCCAGTTACTGATCTTTGGATAGCGTCTCAAGAAAATGCGCTCAACCCACTGTGCAAATTACCGGAAGAGCTAGTCGACAACATTGTCGCTTTTCTGAGTGCTGGGGATTCCGAGGAAAGATATCTGTGCGCCCTGCGACTGACCTGCAAACATCTCTATAGAAAGTCGTTACATTACTTCGGACGCGTGGTACTTCATACTGTGCGTACAGACCTCTGCTTCATAAGCTTGCAGCGACTTATGAGGCTGGCAGCGGACGACCGTTTGAAGGATCATGTACACCACCTCCTCATCAGAGGGGCTTTCAATAGCTGTATGGGAGCTGGTTTCCAATGGATGAGACATAGCACGGGTCCGCTCGATATGAAGCAATCACTGGGGGCCCGCTGGTTGCGGCATGTCCTACTCTCATTACCCAACTGCAGGTCATTTTCTATCAATCTCAACTACGGATGGAACGATTCATCGGCCCATTCTCGCCTGGGACCCAGCGACGGCATAAACATGATTACGAACATCATTGCGGAGACCGGCATTCCTGTGCGATCCTTCCACGTGTACGCCTACCCGAGCAGCAGCAGATTCGCCTTCAACGATGTGGATCCACGGTGTCTTCAGTTCGACACCCTCAAAAACCAGACCTTCATCAACAGCTGGGCGCACGTTGAGAAGCTAAGGTTCCAGCACAATTTCATCCCCGGCAATATCGGAGAGTGGGTGGCTCGGGTGATCACGCTTGCCCCGAAACTGAAGACGCTGGAGATCAGCTATGACTACACCCCCGAGGCACAGATAATCACAACCCGTCTTGCCTCCGGGCCGGGCGTACTCTCCGAACTGCGAGAGCTCGTCCTTACTGAAGCGTCCGAAATGGATAGTGATGAGCTACTGACTCTTCTCCGCTTTACATGCCGCATGCTGCAATGCCTGAAGCTCGAGCGTCTTCAACTGAAGAAAGGCGGCACCTGGATTCCCCTTCTGACTCTACTGGATCAGTTCCCTTTGCTCGAAGACCTTCACTTGTTTTGGCTGAGTACTGGTCAGAGAAAAGTTCTGCATTTTGTGTCGCTGACGGAATACATCCCCAAGACTCTACAGGGAAAGTTCCAGCACGAGTGCAAGCAGTTCTGGGGTATGCCAAAAACCGTCTATGTCGCTTACCGTGGAGATAGCATGTCGGTGTTCCTGAATGCTCTATTGATGTCTGCGCAAAACGAATGAACATGTGTGTGCGTTGAGAAGATTTGAATGTTGTGAAACAGTGTGGCGGCGAGGAAACTTACAATAGGCCTACCCAGCGTATGCAAGTTAAAATAGCATGATACTAAGTCATGGAAATTAGTATGACCCTTGGACAAACATCTAGCCCCAACCAGCCCAGCCGACGACACAACCTGCTGTGCAGCGGTATGTACAATCGGTGGCCCCAGAAGGTTTTCGCTTAGGAACAAATGAGTCATCTCAAAGAGAGTGCGGTGGTTATCATATGATACTGGTGCCACATTATAACTACTTCACCTCGATATCAGTCGATAAGTTCATATGAAGCCCTACCTACAGGCCCACTGCAATTATCGGGATTATATAAGACCATTCCTCACATCCTCTCTCAGCTTGGGGTTAACAATCGCTCTGTATCTTTAGCTTGACCGAAGACCCGGGTCATGAGAACGATTTCTTTCATTTGATCTTGATTCTTCGCAAATCCAATGCTCACTAGGTTTGATCTAAGGTGAGAGCGTTATATAAAAAGGTCAGATTACACAGCAATAGCCTGAAAAAGGCATATCCTCACCATCACAGCCAGAGATAGGACTTGAAGCTCGTAGAGGCCAACAGGGGATGTTGGATATCTGGCCTGCAAGATGCACGGGGTAAGGAGAGAACTTTGCGACTCATCATAGCCAAGGTTCAAAAGAACAATCCGATTAGATTTTTGAAATAGTCGTATAGAAGAAGGGCTTGCGATGCAGTCTTCATTACAGACTCGCCATAATTTGGTGCTGTGAGGCGACAAAAATATCGGTGGGAAAGTCGAACAAGAAAAAGATATGCTTCAAATGCTCCCACGCGGATTTGAACCGCGGACCTCATGATTACTAGTCATGCGCTCTACCAACTGAGCCATAGGAGCTACTTGATGTATGAAACAGAATTATTGAGGCCTATATAATAAAGTCCACAATCTGTCGTAATCAAACCATCCGTTTACATCTATCCATGTTCATGATGTGTAGGTGTCAGCCTTTACAAACCAAATCTCAATTGAAGAAAGCAAGGTCGTTCATTTTAGCTTTTTCTCTTCTCCTTTTACCTTTTCCGCTCTAGCTCTATATCGCTTAGTAAGTGAAATTATACTTTTTTTAAATATTATATTGATTGTATGGTGAGGTGGCTGATCTGAACATATATTTGTTCCCCGCTCCGCCAATTTTTATCCCTGTTATCTTCCCACGATACTCTCAACCAAATCTTCCAAAATATATACTAAGCAAGAAACTTCCAGATGTCTCCCTTGATGAAAATTCACAGGGGCATGAGTTCCTCCCCAACGTTACTATTATCACGAATCTGGCCTCTAAATCCTACTGAGAAGAGTAGTTTCCACAAAGAATTGACTATACTCTACCATCTCAAAGGGTTACAGTCTTACAGATACCCCTCTTCATTTCCCTGTTCCCCCTTTCATTTTATTTTCTATTTCAGGCTCATTTCATCTGGCGAAATAAAGAAAGAAAGCTTAGGAGGTGTCTGCCTGGTGAAGCTACCAAGGTTGTAGTTTGTGACTCGTCACAAAGTACAATGTCAAGGTGATAATTTACATGTAATTTCAACTGGTTTGATGGGGGCTAGAAGTTAAACTGGGAAAGTCTTAACTTTTTGGTAAGTACTTAGTCTAAATCTTAGCTTGAAGAACGTGAGGTGGCCACGCACTTTGGCTCTCCCATAGAAAAGCCGTCAATCGATGCGAGTATCGCTTATCCCCTTTATCGACAGTGAAAGCATATAATAGCCCAATAATATCTCTATATACCGGCCACTGGATGGATGCGAGGAAAAGGAAATTCCATGGCTTGGAGTAAACCAATAGGGCTACATTCGTCCCATGATAAGAGACCATAAATTACCCGGATCTTGTCCCGTTGAGGAACCGTTTCGGTTTGGGGGGCGCTGGACCCGGTGATATTCGGGGAGTCAAAAGCTACAGAGCTATATAAACCACCCTGATATACAACTCTCGAACGCCCTTATTGTTTCCCATCCACTGTTGGTGGCAAAGGGTAGAGTGTATTGTTCAACAATGTTTGGGAGATCAGTTTGGATAACGCCCTCTATAAAGGCTCTTACCCATGCCGTCTGTGCCCTTAGTCATGATATTCTGATGCATTGTCTCAGATGCAATCTTGACGTTTGTATTTAAACTGGAGAGCAAGTTATGAGGATAAAGATCAATCATACACTACTCCAGCACACGAGTACTACCGCTTTGTTTACCCAAGCATATAGTACTGCGCTCGTCGCAGTGCTGCCGATGTAAAACCCACGTATCTTGGTCGCAGATATTATGCATTTCTTCATCAGCATAAAAGAGAAGATAAAAAATAAAAAGGGGGAAAGCCTTAAGAAGAAGAGAAAAAGGAAGAAAGAAACCAGCAAATGTATACCGCCAAGCTAGGCTATCGCCCCAATTTCCCTGCCATCTGCCGATTCCAGAGTTTGCGGTCGAATCGTTGTTCTAGTAGAGCCTGAGCATCACCCGCGTACACGAAAACTTTGCCACCGAATGCCTTGGGGTCTTTATCATCTTTAAAGTAGATCTGGCAATCTGCAACTTCGTAGGCGTTCGTCTCATAATGCGACAGCTTCTGGGCTTCTTCTTCGGATTTCACCAGGTACGTAGATCCCGTCACCACATCCTCTTTTTTCCCATTGATCAGGGCGGGATAATCGCCCCATTTTGCAATGGCGAAACCATTTACCTCCGCTTTGCGGAGTTGCGGCTCCTTCGGCAGGTCGAGGATCCTTTTCAGCTGGGCCGGGGAGGTTAGAGTTCCATAGAAGAAGTAATATACTGGAAACGTAGGCGTGAAGTCGACTGGCTCGTCGCGCTGCAGAAGGTAGTCTGGTGGCACTGAAACTGGCTCCTCCTTGGCCGAGAATAGGCTCGGAATCTGGAGTGCTTTGGATTCCTCTGGCTTCTGGGACATTTCGCTGTGTACAGATATTGTATGATGCTAAAGCTGGACAAAATGTCGATGTCAGAAGGCTTGGAAGAAACTGGGAGAGGCAGCAATAATGGTGCCTAAGGCGGTGAAGGGGATGCTTATTCTCTTTGTCTTTTTTTGGATCTTCATTTGATGGTTTCATTGTTGTTTCTTGGGTTTTGCATAGAAGCCTTTCATGGAGACAGACAGATGTAGGATATTCGCATCCTATCGATGTCCATGCTCCTCTTCCAGTCTGCTTGTGGCTTTCTGCTCTTGTGACTTGTCAACATGGACATCAACCTAGAAGGCTGAACCTTAGGGTCTTCATTAATTTTCCATAAATTGTAGATATTAGTTATTAAGGGCTCTATTCACATCTTATTTTTCAGCTAAAATAGAGGATATATTGACTAGCCCAATATATACAATCTCCCAGGTCACAGGTGCTAAGTGGTTGTTGAATGAACTATACTAGAAGTATTACATATGCTCAGATAGCGGAGATAACTATAGCTTAGTTTGCTAGATTAATAATTATAAAATACTTAAGCCTAGCCAAGATCATGCTGGTCCTGTATGTCTATTGATCCGTCAGCGAACACTGCCTGATAAAATCATCACAGTGGCCTCCGTAGAGGAGCACAGCGATAAAATTGCCAAGTCACATATCGCTACGAATGTGGAAATAGAGCAGGGCTACCTAGCCGAGATACCAAAAGATATCGACAAAAAGTTTGAATAGGACTATGAATCTGAACGATTACCATTCCCCGAGGGCCCATACTACCTGAGTGCTCAACTGTCTTCTGCTCAAGACACCACATATTTCGAACCGTCGTACCTGAAACCGAGTGGAAATGATCCATAGATTTAACAAGAGCGAGATGTAGTTGCTAGTATTCTTTAGTTAATAATTAGGATGATAGATGATAGTAAATAAACTATGTTGTGTATCTTACCCCCGGGTCAGGGTCTCCGTATCTCACTTGACGGCTGTCTGTGGTAAGGAAGCAAAGGAGAAAGGAGGAAAATCAAGAAGTATAGGAGTACTGTGGCACGGAGAAACTTGTCTTTACTCTGATCTTGTTTGACTTTGATTGTCCTAATGATCGTATGAGTCCTACTGTGTTTGTCTCTCATTTTTTCCCAGAACTGGGATCTTTCCAGCATGTAGCTGGACCTGGTACTTGTGCTAGATTTGACCATTCTCTTCAATAGTACGGCCGTAACCTAAGCGCACGCCTTGGTGTTCGAGGTCACTTTGGAGCTTCGGCCACTGGGACGTTACCCTCCCAACTGTTGGCATCACCGACTTTTCCCAGGCCTTAGAGCCTCGGCCTGTGGTGGCTTCTATGACTTTGCCCCAAGCTCGATGCGACATAAAGGTCCGTGCATGTGGGCGCAGTGTGTGCAGCAAGCTACTCTCCTATCATTTACCGCCGCCTCTAGTGTGACTTTGAATGACCAACCAAATAAGTATTAATACGAAGATTGTTCCAAGCCGAAAATATCTAGATATGAGCACGGAAACGGGGGACACCCGAAATAGGAAATCCGAAAGACAAACTTCCCTATTGCAAGGATAGGATATTGGTGTGCTTATTTCCACACGCCAGCCACAGTATGCTAGTCTTTAATGAGATTATGTTACATGCGTGGATATCACTAGAGATTTTATTCAACCTTCAGGACTTGGAGGGTTGGCAGTTGATAGAAGTCCTACAACTAATCAAGAACAAGTCAAACGGTACTAGTTCACAAGACCCTGAAGAATGGTTGCTAAATCATCTGCTTCATCCCTCACAGATAAGAACATAACGAGTCCCTCGCATCTGTATCCTAGCATGCGTCAAGGCCATCTCGATAGCTACTCTGTCTCAGTCATTGCAGCTCCACACTGACACTGCATATTTCTCAGCTCTGAAATGCACAAAGAATCGTTGAACAGATATATGCCTGGATAGTGGACACTCACGCAGATGTAGTACGTATGACTGGTTCCCCATTTACAGGAGCAATTGCTAGTTTGTACATGCCCACACTTGGCGGCATAGCAGGCCCACATTATGCTAGACCATTTATCAGTACCGTTTTCCTAGTGTTCTGCTTTGGACAGATGATTGACCTTGTCGCTAGGTAGGGTGATAGAAAGTAACAGCACACTTTGTATAAAGCACGCGATAACGACTTCTGAAGTTTGCTTCGTGAGGCAATGGATGAAGTCCAGTGATATTTTTGTTCTGGGGTTGAGCTGTTGCCGGTGGAATTACCAGATCGTGGCATATATAACCTCGAGCCAATGCGGCTCTGCAGCAAGGCAGACACTGGAATCCTTTTTCGTGCCAAGGACACCGCCACGTTTCCTATCTCGAATCTCTGCTGATGATCGTTATGAGGATCGCCGTATTCCGAACCATCATGTGATGAGGGGTAAACCTAGTCATTGGTGACTGCGATGCTTAAAATGCCGCAGGACAAAAGGGAAATAACTTCAACACACTGACCAACCATGACTGCTAACACCAATGCCACCAATGCGAAAGGCCCCTATACAGCCCAAATACATTCCATGTTGCAATCACGGCCATACCTGGGCCAGCTGTGCAATATCCTCCAACAAGAAGACAACGGTGTCACTCGTTTCGCCCTCGTCACTTTGAAAAGGGGAGCCACGCCACAGATCCACGAATCCACCGAGCTCAAACAAGCCAAGAAGATCATCGAGCAGAAAGACAAGGAGACGGTCGCTCGATTTCGCGTATGCATCGTCGAGAATATTTCTCCCGCGTTCATTGAGCTACTAGGATCGGCATGGGAGCTGAGCGAGGAGTTTTTTGTCGATCATGCAGTGGGATGTCGAGGGGACTTGTCGCGTGTTCCATTCAACTTGGCATCCATTCGCGAACGAGCTCCTTTTTTATGTGTCGACGGGGTTTTGTCATACAGTGCGGCGGATGTAGAGGCTGCCTATGGGGATGAGGCCAAACCGATACCGAAATACCTCTACCGAGTGCGAAAACATTATTTCCGGCGGGATTTTCGGATTCGTTCGGACGGGAAGGGGTTCCAACTCGATACACGGACGTCGTACTATGTCAAAAAGCTACGCGACAACGATTGGATTGGTCAGTGAGTGGTTTTTGATATTGCCTGGCCCATCGTCATGTTCTGGTTCCATGAAACATGCGCTCATATCACGTTTAACCAGCTGTGTGTCTGATTGATCCCCCTATCATCTCCTCCAAAGCATCAGACCTTCAAGGAGTGATCCGATTTCCACCAGCCTCATTATGGCAGAATTCGTTGCACTCGGCGCCCCGAGATATCCGATGCGAGGATGGGTTATATGAGGTCATGACCCAATTTCTCCGAGGGGAAGGAGCGGGCTATTATGAGCGGTGCATTGTAACCCCATTTACCCCAGCCGCGTTCTTGTTCCTCTACACAGCATTAACATGGCAAGAAATGTGCAATAGACTGCGAGTCACTATCAAACGGCTTAGCTTTGCGGAGATCCGAGCTCATCCAAGCATGGAATTGGGTGAACGACTGCATGAAATGCGCGAAAATCTGTTTTACATGAAGCAGTCGCTCACCCAAGCTTTACAGGCACTGCGTCGCCATGGGGAATATGATGGCGGCCATGTGCCTTTGACGCAGGAAGACAGGAGGAGGAAAATCCTCAGGGAGGAAACCACCGTTCAATTTCGAGATATGTCCCGAAGTTTCCAGGTTCTATTAGAGGATGTTATTCAGCTGGAAAACATGGTCTTGCACTCCTTTGACGTCTTGATGTCCTCGATCGTTGTCCAGGAGACACAGATGTCCCACAAAAACAGTGAACTGGGCATCCAGCACAGTAAGCTTGGGATCGAGCAGAGCAAAATGGGCCTGGAGCAGGCAACCTCGGTGAAAATACTGACGCAGCTAGCATTTCTGTACATTCCGCTCACCTTTGTGAGTGGTGTATTTGGAATGAATCTCCAGGAACTGAATGGGACCGGGCAGCACATTTGGGTCTTTTTTGTGGCGTGTGTGATCGCTGCGATGTTGACGTTTACCGTACTGGTTATTTTTCGCACCCGTGTCAGATCTTCTAAAGCAGTACAACCCCTGGATGTCTGATTTTGTCTTGGAACAACTGAGCAGAGTCTGTATACTTCCAGTGGTTACTTCTAGTGCAACTATATTAATAATACTGGAGAAAACAAGGCCCAGTTTAACTCGACTATTTTTTACTTATTCTAGTAGTAGCTGAATATACAACATACGGTCTACTGTACTGCTATAAATAATTATATTTCTTTTCAAAGAAAGTATTATCGGAGTAATAATAGACAATAAGATATACTTGAGACATCTCAGCTATTTGGGAGGGAGTTTGTGGTCTTCTGTGAGACTTCCTGAGGTGTAGCCAAACTGACAATGACTGAAACTGGTATGAGGCCCTAAAGTATGATGTCAAACCGTATGCATCCCATGGACCTTAGACTCCGCTACTCAAGGCTCTACTGGCCATTATCAATTTCTATATAATACCGGTCAATTCTCGCTATCATTGGGGCAGGCCCAGTCGGACTCCTGGCGGCTTATTCCCCAGCTGGTGCGGAAACATAGTATACCAGAACACCGCCGACGCTGACAGCGTGCCGTAGAAGCCAATGTCAGAGATCGGCTACTTCGGCCCAGCTAACAAAACATTGAGTTGATGGAACTTCATATATTCATAATGTTCTGTATATACTCAGCCGCAACACCAGGCCCTCCATCCCATGCTATATATACATCTCCTGCAACTGTACACTGTCCACGCCGGCAACCAGCCGTCGGCGAACCCGGCTTTCGCTCTAAGCGAGCTTCTGTACATCCGGGGTATAATGTAATGTAACCCTGCCCTCTCCATCTCCATCTCCACCTCGATCTCTAAGTCTATATATAGCATCCATTAAGTTCCACCAGTCCATCCCCAATCCATCACCCCGTGTAACCCCCAGCCCGAAAGACGGTCTATCCCGCCCTTAAGCGGCGGAGCACTTGCCGTTCTTGCAGGCGAGCTCATCGGAGCAATCATCGTGACTAGAGCAAGAGGCACCTGTAATTTCCCCAGGAAAACATAGTTTAGTTAAATGGTTACCGCAACGGCTTAGATACGTGAACCCCGACATACCCGCACAGTGGCCCTCCCAGGAGCAAGATTCCGCACCGTTATCCACCGCGCAGACACCGCTGATGCAAGCAAGCTCATCGGAGCAATCGTCGTTGCTTGAGCAAGAAGCACCTGCAAGAAAGAAAGAGAAAAAAAAGGAAAAGTTTAGCCCCCGAAAAAATCAAGAATAGGAAAATACATGGCATAGCCCGTGTTCAATCTCTTACCCTTGCAGTGACCCTCCCAAGAACAGCTCTCTGCGTCTCCGTCGGACGCACACTTGCCGCTCTTGCAGGCCAACTCATCGGAGCAGTCGTCGTTCGTGGAACAGCTGGCACCTTTATTTTGGGAAACGTGGTTTAGTGGTTCATTCTTCTTCTTTGTCTTGTTGTCCTTCTTCTCCAGAGGAGAAAGAGTCGGGTGGGGAGTTGTTGTCCTCACCAGCGCAGTGGCCTGGCCACGAGCAGGACCCGCCTGTGGGCTCGGGCAGACTAGTTGTCGTCAGAGTGGTGGGCGGGTTGCCGCCGCCGCCGCCGAGGTTGAGGTTCTTGGCCAGGGCGCCAACCAGGCTGTCGCCCATAGAGCGGAGAGTGTCGAAGTTGGTGATGTAGTTCTTGTTCAGGGCGCTGCTGGGGAGAACGGCGTTGTCGCCGGTGAAGACGATGTCTGGTTTGGGAGTTAGTGGTGTGTCGCTGGTGAGATAATGAGAGATTGACGGAGAGGTACGTACAGGTGACATCGGCAGCGGTGTGGCCCTTGTTGCCGTTCAAGTCCTCCTCGGGGAAGCAGGTCCTGGCCATGAGCCAGGAGGCTTCACCGGTGACCTGAGGCTGTCTCCGTTGGAGTCGCCGAAGATACCGTAGAACATCTTACCGTTGCTAGCGGTGGCATGGTGTTAGCAGGCAATCAAGGGCATCCTGGGCAATTGGCCTACCAGATCACGGCAGAGACAGCATTGCCCTTGAGCTTGGACTTGTTCGCATCCAAGAACTTCTGGGGGATGACGATAAAGGGCACTTCGTAGGCGGACAGCGCGCCCCAGTTCGTCTCGTCCTGGCCGTCAGGGTTGCCCTACGTTTGTTAGACTCTTTCGTGATGGAGAGAAAGCTCAGCGGAGTTGCAATCGTTGTTCTTTACCTTGCAGCCATGGTTAAGTCCATCACAGTCAACGTCCATGTCAGCCACGAAGGAGAAGGAGGCACCCTGGCTGGTGCGTTAGCTACTGTATACTCATGAAGGTGTTGGATGTTATTTGCCTCGGCAAAGTCCGCCCAGTCGCTGTGGATGGTGGACTTGGTAGAGCCCTGGCCGATAGGGTAGGTAGCTGCAGAGGGAACCTTGCTGGCCTTAGCAGCAGCAGCCTGGATAGCAGCAACAGGGATGGAGCTCGATGCCTGGAAGAACTTGGCCGGGGGGCCTCCGTCTGGCTTGTTGTAGTCAGCTCCGTTGACCTTCTGGCCCATGGCCGTGCCACAGACGGCCAGGGAGAGGGCAAGGCGGCTAGCGAAGTTCTTGATAGGCATGGTGAAGATGTCCGTACTCAACAGGAAAGCAAAACTGTGGTTGTAGACGTAAGATGCTTTTTGGCATGGGCGCCATGGTGGATTTATAGTAGAATGGATGTGTCGGAAATGGCTTATACTCTATGGAACGGCCCTTTGTCCGATAACTCAAAGTTCGTTTCGTGTGTCACGGTCTAATTTCCCGGCTGTTTCGAGACCGTCCATGGGCGGATGTAGTAGTCTCTGACGACAGTTGATTCGTCGGATCTTGAGCCACTGCTACGCGAAGGTAGGACTATAGAACGCCTCCATTTACTGAGTAGTATGTCTCACCTGGCGGTCCTGTCATGCATCGAGAATGAACCATGCGGAGCACTAGTTGCAGAAGGATCATATGAAAGTGCTTGAGTTGTCCTTCCCCGATGCATACTAAAAGCCCATAGTTGTCGGTAGGGTTCCGCCGGGCAGGGTCCACAGTTGGTCTCCCAAAAATGGTTCCATGGGCAGTGATGTCCAGATCCACTGGATATGATCTCCGCCACATCGAGATTGACATCCTTTGACAGGGGTACTGTTGGGTCTAAATTGTTGTGCAACACGATTGTCGCAGAACAGAGGGGAAGGACTTGTTCCCCATGCAGCGCCTACTTTACCCCATGCTCCAGAACCCTGAGAATCTACTAGCAACGTCCTCATGCAGGTGTAGCCGTAGCGTTGCGTTAGACTGGTATAGGAACTCCCCGGAAGTTCCTGAATAGGTAGGTGCCTGGAAATACTGGTCTTCACCCAGGGGGCCTCGGCCCCGACGCTAAGGCTAACGGTGCCATATGAAGGGCCAATTGGTAACATGTGGGGTTTCAGGTGGAGGGTCGATGCACTACGGCGCGAAGCGAGAGCGATTGCCGAATCCAGTTAATGATCTTATCAATTGATTCTCCGAGGTCCACATGAAAAAAGAAAAAGAGTCCGATAGCAACAGCACGTATTGGACTCGTGGTGCTGGGGGATAAACATGGCATTCAGTCTGCATAATGCAGGTACGCGCAAAATGTGCTTATCGTGATGTGTAACCATTGGCCTGTGGTGTCATGTGATAGTATGTTACCCTAGACGCGGCAGCAACAGCGGCAACTCATTTTCTGCAGAGGCTGGACGCTTGCATTGTTAGCTAATTAATTGGACCCAGTCCCGGCCCGGACCAAGAACATGCCATAGTTCAGTACGATACGAGGTTACATTGCATACCGCCCCAACTGGGCCAGTCTTGGCATGCATGAGAATAACTGCCTATTACCTTTTTGGACTCTCCACACGTATCCAGTGGACAATCCACCGAGTGTGTAAACGACGATCTGAATACGGAGTACACTCTGAATATGCTGGCAAATGAAGTTCATAGGAGATCCTCGGCACGCAGATCTCCATATCCCTAGGAGTTTCGCCGAAATGCATATAAAAATTGCCACACGACCCAGAGAGATGATGGCCGGAGATTCCTCGTAGACTGCCACAGACCTCACACCATCTCACAATGCAGTTGTACAAGCTCTTCGCCGTTCTGGCAGCCCTGCAGCCGGCTCTTGCCAAGAGCCTTATTGACTTCTCTGCGGCTCGCAGCGATAACCCCTCCGTCCTGGGCATTCGCAACCTGGAATCGGTGCGCGGTACCAAACCCAAGGATAACACCAATGACCTCTACATCAAGTTGGATAAGGACCCAAAGGGCACTCCTGCGCTGCACTTCCACCGCAAGAAGGACAACATCCGGGCCGAGTACCACGCCTTACAGAATCAGATTAAGGCCGACCAGACCTATTACATTGGCTACAAGTTTTCCCTGGGAGCCATTCAGCAGAGTCTGATGATCTGGCAATTGTACGTTAATTCCTTCCTTCTCACTGTCCGCCCAAAACCAGCGTTCAATACTGACCTGCAACAGCAAGGAATACTCTGCCAACAACGACAAGGCCGGCGGTGCTAACATCCCTCTCTCTTTGGAATTCAAGAGCGGTAAACTGAATCTCCAGTACCAAGCGTCCAGCTCTGCGAAGCGTGAGTCTCAGTGGTCCAAGGAATTGAAGACCGACACCGTCTACTCCATCGGACTCGTGATCAACACCGCCCGTCCTGGGTGGGTTGAGCTCTACTTCGATGGCGAGCAGCAGACCTTCGGCTCCGGCGACAAGAGGCTGAAGGCCAACACATTCCCCGGCAAGGCGGAGCCCAAGTTCGGCGCTTACCGTGGCGAGGAAGTGCAAATCGACACCTATGTCTACAACGTCCAGATCGGAACTTCCCTTGATGATATCAAGGAGGCTGCTGGACTGGGCTCGTCTCCTAAGCCCACTGCTACTTCGAACCCCACCCTTCGCCTTCCTGCTCCTGGGAGGGTCACTGTGAGGGTACGTCTCTTTCCCGCGGGTACTTTGCCATACACTAACTCAGGCATGAATAGGTGCTTCCTGCGCCAACGAGAATGACTGCTCCGACGAGCTCGTCTGCAATAACGGAAAGTGCACCTCTGGTTCAGCTCCGTCTTGCTCTTGGGAGGGTCACTGTGCTGGTATGTTTCTGTCTTATTACCTATATCGCTTCACTTAACTAACTGTACCTAGGCGCGAAGTGCAGCTCTCATGATGACTGCTCCGATGCCCTTGCTTGCACCAATGGTGTCTGTGCCTAATCCGTGTATATCAGGATCTGTTTATTTGCCCCTCGTTGGGGTCGGTATTTCATGGCTTGTCATGGATAGAATACAGTATACTATCGAACCAATGTATGATATGAGCAAACTCAATAATCCAAATCTATTCTCACACGAGACCTAGTGATCCAGCACTGGTAGAATTTTCTAAGCTACATTATTCTTTCACAACACCTCAAGCAAAAGCTGAGTACACAGATATCGCCCCACAGAGCAATCAATAGTTCCAGTGGGATGTGATACTATTGAATCCAGAAGAGTAGCTCGTTCTTCACACAACAAAAACCAACTATAGAAAACGGGAGTAGGCCTTGCCGGGTTCACTCGCAAGCCCAATGACTGGCATGCGAGAACAGTGCGACAAGGGGCTGAGTCGAGACTCTCGATTGCCCAACATAAACTCAATAGTTGTTGCGTACAGATAGCGTCTCCATAGCGTGTCTCGGCTCGGCAGCGGGCCGATGGACTGGGTTCGGCAGCTTGCCGACATATCGGCATTTCCGATGACACCAAACTCCTCGGTATAGTTCCGATATTATTGAGTTAATTATCGTGACAGGGGTTATGAAAATCATTTGGTGGGTTGTTTTTACTGTGGTAAGGTGCGTTAAGATCGTGTGTGGAGCTTTTAGAGCCACTGTGGCAAAAGCATCGCCTCCTGTCTCGGGTCCTATTGTATTTTGATTTTGTATTCAGCTCGCAAAATTCGAGAATGGAACCATATACGAACTTGTCCATCGGGATCACCACGGTCTTTGCGCACTCTGCCGCAGTTGTCCCCAATTATTGTCCCGTTTATCATAAAATTGCTACAGCCAGTTACTTTCAGGCTTGCTTAGAGTGAGGCTATGCAAGGTTTTGATGCAAGGCTCTAGGCCGGTCTTTTCTTTAAATCTTTTTTTCATTTTCATTTTTACATCTTCATTTTTATTTTTATTTTTTACTATAATGTTATTGATTTTATACTTGTTTTGACAATTGTTATCCCGATTCTTTTTCGTGGAAGAGAGAGACTAACTAATGTGCATCCAGTCGACGATTATGTATATCTCTGCTGCAGTTAGAGTTTTTCTGAATGCTTAGCGTTAATGTAGGAGCTGAAGGGAAAGTATGAAGTTAGGATGGTTGAATCATTGATATTATCACTACAAGAATGTGTAAGGAACGACTTCTATTGTGCGGAGATTGCACAATGGCCAAGGGAAGACCTTTAGGCCCTTATAAAATAGAAATTGTGGAGGGTATCAGCACATCAAGTCTCAAATATCTATGGAATGAACACATCCGGTAGATCACTCTATTCAAAACATACAGGTAGCCATAAAGAGGATACGTCACTAGCCTAGAATGAAATACAGGACATGAGTGCTTCGAAGGTAGCCTGTTCTTCCGAGTCATGCTCAAGCTCATCCTTCGTAGCGTAGATCACAACGAGTTCCTGTTCAAGATTAGCCCCACGCCCGTGAAGAAAGCACCTTATTGCTGAAGAGCTCCACTTCGACACTACCCGCCCCGTCCTAGTCACAAACAGCATATGCGAGAAAATAGTGCCCGGAGTTATATCGTACGACATGATGCTTGCTCTATAGATGCACCGAGGCAGTTAGTCCCACACAAGAGGGAGGGAAGAACTCACTCTATGCTTGATTTTGGCCACTTTGTCACTGACAGTAATGTTATGAAAAGTAGAATCCACTCTGACGAAATTGTTGCCAGAGGGAAGGTGGTTGCGTTTGAAATGGAGGATGCAGGCCCTTGGGATGTTCTTCCTAATGTAATCATCAAGAGCGCTTGCTGTTATGCGGACAGCCACAAGAATAAAGCATGGTAGAATCATGCCACTGCAATAGCTACTGCGTGTACAAAGGCAGTCCTACATCAGTGGAGAAGTAGTCAAGGGGCGTAGTTGTAGTAGGGTTACGATGCTTGGCATAGTATACTGCATTAGTGAACGCAATCCACAACCAAGCTGCGAATTTCTACTGCTCCACTGACTCCACCCTCAAGATAATTCAAGCAACATGTATCAACGGGTTTTTGGATAACTAATAGCTCTAGACTAACAATTACATTAGGTTTAAGTTTAGAATCTGATAAAAAGTCCCGTTGAGTTGAGCTTAGAAGATCTTTAAGACCTAAAAATAAATGTGTGAGCTCAGAAGCTGCAGAGAACTGAAGAAAAAGTATGGATTCCAAAGAGATTTCTTAATATTGTTTCCAAAGGTCTATGTATGTACAGATACTTCTTTTTGAGACATAATGTACCTTACACCCTTGTAGCAGTTAAAATAATAGAAACACATCGACCAGACTGGTTAGCCTACTGGTTCACTGCCAAGCATCATTGGTCTAGTGGTAGAATTCATCGTTGCCATCGATGAGGCCCGTGTTCGATTCACGGATGATGCACTTGCTTTTTGTTGTTTTCATTTTGCCTCGTCACTACCAATGAAGTGAGAGATCCAACATGGACCAGGGCAAGTGCAAGCCTACTGCAATGCCGTATTCCTCCACGAGCACGTTCAATAGCACACCCCAGATTCCTTAGCTATATGCAGACTTCAGCCCTCACCAAACACACCACACTACCAAACATTCCCCCTAGTCTGCTCCCTATCCAACTTCTTCACATTAATATTCCTCCAGACCCAAACACACCCAATACAAAGCGGCACAAAACACACACCCGCGATAACCATCTTCCTCTGGACGTCCGCATAAGCGCCGACAATCGCGTCCCTCTCCGGGGAGCCATCCGCATACGACATCTGCATCACCATATTACTAAAGATAGTACGACTTATATGCTTACTGTCCTCAGGGAGTCTCTTGTACAGCTCGCCGGGGAGGATATTATTCCACATGCCGCCGGCGATGGCAGACCCGACGGCCGCACCGATGGACCCGAACAAGCCCCAGATTGCCATAACCACAGCGATCTCCTGGTGCGTTACGGGCGCCATGATGGCGAGCTGGCCGCAGACGGTGAATATGCAGGTGCCCAGGCCAACGAGGATCTGGGTCATGGTTAGGATGCCGACGTGGGTGTTGGGTTGGCGGAAGGGGATTAGTAGTGCTGTGCCGAGGAGGAGGATGGGGATGCCGGTGAAGACGGTCCATTTGAATTCGCCAGTGTAGCGGATTAGACTGTATTTGTTAGGTGTTCCCTCTGTGTTGAAGGGGGTGGGTTAGGGACTTACAGGCCGAAGATTGGGCTGAAGATGTAGGAGGTTAGCGAGAAGGCGTTAAGGACGTAGTTGGCGGTTGTTATGTCGAGTCTGTGGACGACTTGGAGATACGAGCTGAAGTAGCTGTTCCAGGCGCTGGGCTATTTGTTAGCAAGGTATCCAGCAGGTAGCTGCGAATGGTAGGGTGGCAGACTTACAAGCACGAGATGAACATGACACAATACAGAAGACAGGAACCAATGATAGTCGGTTCCTTGAGGTATTTCCAAGGGAGAAATTGGACAGGGGAAAGGTATCGCTCCCATGCGTAGAATGCCGGGATGCAAACCACCCCAAGCACTTCCATCGCAATAATATATCCACTGGCCCATCCCTTGGGGGCATACGAGGCAAGACTGAAGGGGAGAAGGATCAAGGAAAACACCGCCGTTATCAAGACGATTCCAATCACTAGGGCTCTTGAGTTAGTCTCAGCAGCCAGACACACAACGCCAAAAGAAACACGCACCGTCAAACTCGATGAAATAGTGGACAAGAGATTGCCACCAGGTCCTGCCAGAGACTGTCTTCTCGAGAGCACCAACCTTATGGGCTCTCCGCTGCATGTACAGCATAACACCCACAACAGGGATGGAGGTACCAGTTATCATGATCGCGAAGGCACCAAATGCCCAGCGAAAGTCGAGGTTGATATAGAATAGATTCGCGATCCGAGGCCCAGCAAATGTGCTCGCGATACTCGGGGTTCCGTTGATACCGAGCATAATCATTCGGTTTTTGAGGGTGGTCATATCCGCCAGCATGATATCAACCACATACATCATCCCAATATGTCCCACCCAATACAGTGTGTGTGCCGCGACGTAGGTCTCGATGTTTTTGCAGGTGGCTTTCATTATCAGACCTATTACGACGATCAGAAGCATAAATAAGAAGCCCTCAACACGGCCCCAGATATCAATAATCTTGGCTAGAGTGAGCTTCGAGGAGCCGCCGAGAATGGTAGACATGATGCTGACAACGGTGAGGAGCCCATGCTTGTGAAAAGACGACGTGATATATGGGTTGAGCGAGGTTTGGACGGAAACTAAAAGCAGGTCTACGAAAGAGACAAGGTAAAGACTGCGTGATAGTAAGTACTTGGTCGCACCTGGGCGCATAGGAATGGGAATCGATATCAAATGGCGGGGAGATTCACAGGACAAACATGAGCCACATCGTATTCTTAGACCATAATGAAGTGATGGCTCTCACCCGCTGAACACCACCTTGATACAATGTGGGATCCTTGTCTGAGATACTCGTATCATCCCTGGCGGGTTCTTGAACGATGCGATCGACCGCTTCATTTTTTCAGGATCGTCCCCGGGACTGTCCACAGGTCCAATCTGGTCCGGGATGACGGTCTTCGGCATGCCGTGCGAGTGAAGGTTGCTCATGGCTGGCGAATCCAGGAACACCCGTAAATGCAGGATAAGGCGGTTGACGTGGTCTGGGTAAAGAGGGGACGAGCAGCCGAATATGTAAGGGATTTACAGAGCACTGCATTCTCGGTTCAGCAGCCAAGACTGCCACAGCAAGAAGCGCTTGCATGTAAGCCCCCCTATCAGATGATCAGATAAGATATGCGAGCTTTGGTTGCCCAATAATGTATGTACAGTGGATTTAGCGCAATGTTAGTATTGAACTAAAAGGCAACAAGCGGGATTGGCGCCAAGGGGCCGAAAACGGCACAACCAGAAAGGTTTTCAGGGATGTGCCCTCAGATACTTGAATGGCTTTTGCATCTGTGGGCCAATTCTTATAGAGTTCAAAGGATATATCTTGAATATAATGTCTGCAGGAAAGAGTAGAACTCTCAGGCGTTTCCGATGGGAGGATGATCCCAAAGAATGAATGTTTAAGTATCCATATAGAGTGAATCTACTTGAGTCATGCAACACGGCCCTCAGACGCTAGTATAGTAGTGAACCATTCTTCTGCGGGTCGAGCTTCGTCCAGTACCCCGATATAGGCGCTTCACTGATCCTCCTGCTGGAGTATTCTTGTACTTTCTGGACCTGCCCTATAATTAGCGAAGCATGGTCCCTGCTGAACCCCCAGAGTCGCGGGGGTGAATTAGAAGTTGAGGGCCCGCTCTAGGCATTAGGTTTTAAGATCAAACCTTGGCTAATATCAAGAATCTACACAGGTGAGGGTATGTAGTTTCGGATGAACCCTTACCTGAAAAGGAAAATCACCATTTCGTTTTCACGACCCAGCGGAACATAAATAGATGTATCTATAGGTGAAGAAAAAGTACAAGATTTAGAATACTATCTGAAAAAGACTGGCTTCAACTACGTGCCAGTGTGAGATGAATGCAGAGGATAAGATCTCTGAAACTGGTGCGAGTGTTCCAGCATAGTATGGTAATCACTGTTTAGAGCTGGCTCTTCTGAAGCCCCGAGCACGGCGGCTTCGTGGACAACCCTCCTGGTGCCATCTAGACATATTTATTCTAATGATGCACATCGTAAAAGTGGCACTGTTGATCATATTTTCTATTGGAAACATAATGACAAAGGGATTAGGATAATTCAATAACCAGTTCTTTTGGTGGTAGGCATATTTATCATTCTTAAGCCATTGCTAATCAAATAGTCATACGAAGGTTCATAGGCAATCAGAAGCACATAAAAGAACAAGTTCACTATGCTCAATAGTGTAAGAATCGGGGTAGACGGCATAGGCAAAGAGGTATTCCAAGACACCGAAAGCATATGTTCCGTAACAGAAAATATTGGGAACCCAAAAGACCACACGACCTTCCATGTAAATGTCCACATAAGCAATGAACGCGAGGGCACTCAACCCCTGTTCACACACCCCGGTGTGCGCAGTTCTTCATTCACGTGAGTGCCGCTATAGCTTAAGCTACATCGTCGTTTTTCCTCCTGCATCGGCAGTATCGTTGAATGATAGAAGAACACTTTGTTTGGACAACCCCCTGCTCTGCGCCTACATCAGGCAGGCGTGTCTCCTTTTCCGACTGTGTACCTTTGAGCCCGTAGTCCGTCTCCAGAGTTGTCCGCAGCTCCATCTCCTTCTCCAACCAAGCGACCAAGAACCCAACCCCTGCAAACACGACGGAAATCTGCCACACCCGCTGCAAGGCCTTTGTATACGCCTCGATAATCTTGGGCTGCAACGCGGGCGGGAACCGCGCAACAAAGACCCGGGATGATTACTGATACGCATCTCCGGAGTTCTGCAGCAGGGCCGCGATCGAAGGGTCCTCCTCATGCAGCTGCTGAAGCAAGCCTGTGTCACGTATCCGTGCGGCGAACTGGTTGTTGAAGATGGCTGCAGGGATAGCAACGCCCCAGACGGAGCCAAACATCCGGAAAAAGGCCCAGGTGGCGGTCGACGCGGCGACGTCGGTTTCAGCCAACGAGGCCTGCGCGGCTGGCAGGGTCGAGATTACAATGAAGCCCGAGCCGATGGCCACCAGCAACTGGAAGCCAACCCAGGCGCCGGTGCTGGAGGACTGGTTGAGAAGGCTGAAGAGGCCCTGGCCTAAGGTCATCAGGGCCAAGCCGCCGACTTGCAACGGCTTGTACCGGCCGGTTTTAGTAATGAGGAAGCCTGCCACGATGGCAGCGGGGACTGTGACGATCACGGTGGGGAGAAGTTGCACGCCAGAGAGGGTGGGAGTGCTTAGTTGGACACCTTGGAAATAGACGGGCAGGAAATACAGTTCCCAGTACATAACCATACTGTGCAGGAAGCTAATTATAAATGCGACGAGGGAGGTGCGGTTGGCTTAGGAGAGAGCCGGGGGCTCATCTGCACCAGATAGAAGACGATGAGCCTACCAGACCGAGCACCAACGGCACGATAATATGCCAACTCGACCAGGCGTTAGATGTGCCACCAAACCTGAGTGCAATGAGAATGGCTAGTACAGACGCGACCAGCAATGTGTTGCCTAGCCAGTCTATCCGCTTCATCTTCTCCGCCAAAGTCGCTTCCTTCTTGGACTCAACTTGCAGAAACAGGACCATCAGCACTATGGCGGTCCCGGCGATAGGAAGGCTGATGTAGAATGACCATCGCCAGGTGACATGCTACGTGAGGGCTCCTCCAATGAAGGGTCCAATGGAGGAGCCTACCGAGAACACTATGAAGATGAAGGCTGTCACTTGCGCTCGCTCCCGCAAGGGAACGAGGTTGCAGACGACAATATCGATCAGCATATTGACGCCTCCAAGTCCCACTCCTTGAACTGTACGCCCAGCAATGAGCATTGCGATTGAATTAGCACCGTCGCTAATGCCACTACCCAAGGCAAACAGGGCGATGGCTGAGATGAGCGGCCATCGTCGACCGAAGACGTCGGCGAGTTGTCCGTAAAGGGGCTGGAACGCGGTACTGAAATAAGCAGAACTGATTAGTGGACCTGGGGAAGGATGGAGGTGGAGCGGAGACTAACCTCGACAGAAAGAGCGCATTCACAACCCAGATACAAGCCCCTCCCATGTTCAAATCGAGTGAGACTTTGGGCAGAGCAGTCGATGTGACGGTGGATTCAACGGCGGTGAGGGGAGAGGTGACTGACAGACCAGCCAAGATCAGCCGAAATCGCCAACCACGTGAATCCATGATCGCTGCTAGGTTGGGGAAGACTTGAGATGGTTTTGTTCTCTTAGTCTGGTGTTGTTGGTTGACTTTCCTTCCACAGAAGTAGTGAGTAGACAAGAGCGGATATTAGCCCTACCAGATGTTGAAGAGGAAGACATGTAAGTCAGCAAGGCATCTTGAGTCAACCTCGACTCGCTGTAGCGATGTTACACTTGCTTTTATCGACCCTTGTATATAGCTCACCTGCTAGCTGCTCAACTTTGTTAGGATACTGAAATGGTTTGTTGGCAATGGGTCCTGTACATACATGGCCCTCGTCCGGAATCATATCAGAACGTTAGACCGTTGGTTCATGGACACTAGATTCTGACACACAATCCCTGCTAATCAATCAGGGCTCATGGTACCTCAGCTCAGAGCTGCGGCTGGGACAGAAATTAGTATTATTGGCTCAGGGACGTGGGACAACATATCAGTTTTTTTGATATTGTAATCAGAAAATACAGAGTTTAGTTACTCATACCCTGGGCTTGTTCACAGCCACGCCAGCATCTGATAGCCCAGCGAGCCTTCTAGATCCATGAGCTATACTACAGGAAGCTATACATCTACTGGTCAGAGGTGTGCTTTGTTGGAGGCCACCAAGCATAGTCGGTCCTCTAGCATCATGGAATAGCGTACGCTAGAGCGCTAGTCTGACACTAACAGCAAACAAAGAAACGCAAAAACAGCAAGTAAGACGGGAGAAGAAAGAAAAAAAAGGGAAGCTAATTGCCTTGTAGTGAATCATATTTCCCAAGGCCTTGCCCCGCTGCTGGTCTTGGTCTCCCATTAGAATCCACGCTGGAGTTGCACTTCCTGTACCATTCAATCCTGTGTAGCTCGACAGTGTTCGGTCGGCCGTTCCATGACTGTCCCACATCGGGTTACATTAGGGTCAACCATATATCGATATCACTAAGCAGATAATAAACACCATGATCATTACGCAACTAAAGTTAGACTCTATGTTCGCCGAAGTGACCACTCTTTCTTGATGAGACTAGAAAAGGATGTTTAGTCTAAGTAGCCACGACGATGAACCGTGTAGCCTAGATACGAACGTCGGCAGGAGCAGAGGTCGTCTTGCTATCCTGTCCCATGGCGGTAAGTTCCTCCCAGCTGGGACGCTCGATGTCGACAATCTTGCCGTCTTCGATAAACACCTCCTCCCAGCCGGCAGTCACGTGGGCCCGCGTCTGGTCAAGGATCTCATCCTCGCCTGCAATGAGGCTCTGGAACTCGGGATCCGTGACGATTGCTTGCAACGTCTCAGGGTCAGGCACGTAGACAGATATCGACACGTCATGGTCGTCGATGCTCCAGCCGGGACGGACAGCCCAGGGGATCTTGTCTGTGATGAGCTTTTTGCTGATACTTGGGGTGTAAATCTAGCCAGATCGATGTGTCAACAAGCACCTCTTCCCATGTGCACGAAAGTGAATGGGTTTACTCACGTGGGTAACCTTGATGGCGCCATGTCTCTCCTGGATGCGTGCAGCCTTGGGTGCATGCTGTCGTGTTCCGTACTCGTGAAAGTCTTTCTCGGAGATACCGTCCTTCTTATAACGGAAGGAGGTAAGTCGCAGGACAAGCTGCTTTTGAGGAGCCATTGTGGATTGTAGCAGTGGGAGAAAGACGTGTATCCTGAGTTTGGAAATGAGGAATGTGAGAAGCCATATGAGATTACTACCATGGGAAACAGCAGACTATATATGCTGATTGACATCCCCGAGGGGGTGGCCGACACAAAGGGCCTCACATGGTGCTTAGCAACGATGTTCTGATTCAACGAGCCAGGGCATGGCCTCTTCTTTGTCTGCTTACTGTAACGTTGGCCCATTTGGGGAAATGATGCATGCATAGCGTGGTAATATCCTAGGTTAACAAACCCGTTGCCGCCAACGATAAGAACGGATATGACTTGTTAACCTGCCATCCTTGTCGGTACTTCTGTCTAGTGCATATTCTATAGGTACGAATCCACTAATTCTTTGTTCCTCTTTGCCGCACGAGGGCCTCGTCTTCGTAATCTACCCGCACGGCCCCACGCATCCCAGTAAGGCAATCCGTGTCTGGCTTAGGGCTTACATTTGGATATGAGATTGGAAGGCAGCCTTATTTTTCGATCATTAAAGCGGAGAAGCTTTTCTGCTGCAATGCGTCTTTTTGATATTCTACAAGATTTGGTACAGTAAATCGCCTTATTGAATATTTAGATAGTGAGAAGCACATTATCTCGTTCTAAAATAACAAACTGTCGATTCCCTCCTATTCTACATAAGCAAAAGCTGCCTGGGTTGAGTACGATTTCTTCAATTCGTCCGACTCATTTAATGTGACTATCTACGTCAATGGCGCACTCAACACTGATCCAAATATACCTATGGAATTCTCCTTATGACTGAATTGTCAAGAGGAGAACTTCACAAGACTGCTGGGTGAGTCTGAAGAGGAGGGACATAGGTTACCAGGATAGACTGAGGTAATGGTGGACCATGTTTGAACTAGGGATGTTGAGATTGCAATCTCTAAACAGGGTCTCAATACACTTAAGTGGAAGGGGGATTCGGCACAGGTATATCTAGAGAAGATTGTTCATATACTGAACGGAGGGTCACATAGTTGTCTCGGTCCGTCGGAGACTGCCCTAGTGGGGTGAGGCTGGAAGGTGGCTTATAATTTGTCGAGTTTGTACGGTTAAGATGCCACATATATTAGGAGGCATGCGTTATGTCTTAATTCTGGTCCCTAGGCTAGCAGTTCCAGCAGTACAGATAGTCAACCAAGTGAGTTAGCACACTTCGATTAATCTCGGGTGATCCCATACCGAACGGCGGCTTGGCTAAGAATATTCCACAAATGGGAGAGGAAATATAGATGAAGCATCCAGGAATCGAACCATTCGGTCTAGCTCCACCTCCGCATAATTCCCCGCATGTTGGAGAGCGTGGTGTACGGAGTGAGCTACCCCGTATACACGGCCGTTGGTGTGTGGATCCAGCACTCGAAACTGTTGTGCTTGCTATCTTTAAATTCACCCAGAATACGCGCGCTCTCGACAATGATCGAATAACAGGCAAATGTATATTCTTCTTCTATAGCGTAATATCAACCATAAATGTTCCTCCCCTCACGCAAGGCATTGGCCTTCCTAGCCTGCGTCGCAGGCCATTCCACGGCACTTCTAACAACATCCGAGAACTCTACCCACTTCAACCTCGCTAATGACCGCTTCGCCATCTCTTTGGCTAAATCCAGTGGTCATATCGTTGACGTCCAACTAGACAACCAGGATCTACTTGGGCCGGTAGACGGCAACACCGGAAAGGGTCCATACTTAGATTGTTCATGCATCCCGTCAGGCTTCTGGACACCAGGCAGTGGCGCCCAGTTGGAGCTCCTCACCGGCAATGATTCGACCGGCACAGCATATGCCGGAATCTATATGACCGATACATATGAGTCAACCAATCAGACACTCTCGCAGTGGTTCTTCCTTCGAGGCGAAGAGACAGGACTACACGCGTTTTCCCGAGTCACGTACTTCAACGAGACTACGCCTTTCCTGCGGAGCCTTGGAGAGTTGCGCACACTTTTCAGGCCGAACACGGACCTTTGGACTCACTTCTCCACCAGCGACGGCAATTACGGACCACTGCCACTGGATAGCACTTATGACGGTGGTTTGGTAGTCCAGGATGCCACAACCTACATGGGGGATATTACCGATGATCCCTATGTCTCTCAATACTCCGATTACTTTACCAAATATAGTCTGGCAGAGAGCTGGCGCAACCACGACGTCCATGGCATGTTCGGCGACGGCTCAGCTAGTTCTGATGGCAGCACGTTCGGTGCTTGGCTGGTTCATAACACCGTCGAGGCTTACTATGGAGGCCCACTGCATTCTGACCTCGTTGTCGACGGGATTGTGTACAATTACTTAGTCTCCGGCCACTATGGAGCACCTATGCCCAACCTCACGCATGGGTTTGACCGTACGTGGGGACCTCAGTTCTACTACTTCAACCGTGGAGATGCGCAGACGACAATCGCCGAGCTGAGGGCCGATGCTGCGAAGTACGCTGACCCGGAATGGAACGCGGAGTTCTACAACAGTATCTCGAATCACATCCCCAATTTCGCGCCGTCGTCTGGCAGGACAACCTTCAAGGGGAAGGTGTCGCTGCCTGAAGGTGCCAAGAGACCCATCATTGTACTATCCGAGGACGGACAGGACTTCCAGTTGAATGTCTTCGACACGAAGTCTCTGCAATATTGGGCGGAGATCGATGACTCCGGAAGTTTTAGCATTCCACGTGTAGTGGAAGGGAAGTACAGGATCACCATCTACGCAGATGAGATCTTCGGGTGGTTTATCCAAGACCACGTCGAAGTTTCAAAGTCGCAGTCCAAAGAGCACACGTTCGTCTGGGAAGAGGAAAGCGCGGGCAAAGAAATCTGGCGTATTGGGGTGCCGGATAAGTCATCTGGAGAGTACCTCCACGGCTACGCACCGGATACCTTCAAACCGCTACAACCAGAACAATACCGCATATACTGGGGAAAATACGACTATCCGGCTGAGTTCCCCGAGGGAATCAACTTCCACGTCGGAGAGAGCGACCCATCTCAAGACCTCAATTACATTCACTGGGCATTTTTCCCCTCCCAAGGAAACCACCTCCGCACGGAACCATACTACAACAATGTCAACAACTGGACGGTGACGTTCGATCTATCCGCAGACCAACTGCGTGACACGAGCACGGCAACATTCACCGTGCAGATCGCAGGCGCGAAGACTGCGAACGGGAACTCGAAGTGGACGCCCGTTGAGGGGAAGTACAGTAACCTTCCATGGACGGTGAATGTAAATGGACGCTTTGAGTCCACATGGGTAATCCCGTACTGGCGGAGTGGATCATGCGGTGTGCGCAGTGGAGTATCCTGCCAGAATATAGAGCAGAAGTTCGAGT